CTTTGAAAGGTCTGACAGCACAATCAAAGGGCCCTCACTCTCCACTAGACTGATTATAAGCCATTACAACTTCCGTGGAGAACAGTTTGGCACATTCTCCCCAGGGCATACAAACCCAAAGATCTTCCAGTCATGAAGTATCCTCTTATGTGTTCTTGTTTGGGAACGGGGCTGGGTGGTATTTTCTTATGGCAAGGGTAAAGGGTAGGCGGTTCCGCCCTTGGGGTCTACACTCCCACGACAGACTGTAACTGACAGACAAAAGAATTAGACCTGCCCAGGTCTAAATACAGAACCAAGTTCTAGGAACATAATGAAGCAGGAAATCATCAAACAAGTGAGGTGATGGAGAACTGAACTGTCCGGGGAGTGAATGAAACGGGGCACTTCTTCCGCAGGGTCAAAGAGGAGCAATGCACTCGCTAGTCTGTTGTGTGTTTGTGAAGAACGTCTCTGGGGGCTGGAGAGATGGCTCAGTGGTCAAGAGCATTGCCTGCTGTTCCAAAGGTCCTGAGTTCAATTCCCAGCAACCACATGGTGGCTCACAACCATCTGTAATGAGGTCTGATGCCCTCTTCTGGCCTGCAGGCATACACACAGACAGAATATTGTATACATAATAATTAAATAAATATATATATTAAAAAAAAAAAAGAACGTCTCTGGATGGGGACCAAAGAAACAGGCTGCATTGGTTTTACAAGAGTTCGTATTTTGGCAACAGACATTGTTATAACCTTCAGTCTTTGGAATTGTAACCTGTAGGCTGCGACCTTCCAGTTCCTCGCTGAACTGTTTCTGGTCACCTTCTTTAGCACAGCAGCAGAGGAGTAACCTAGATGTTGAAAAACGAGTTTCAAGCAGGCTGGGGCGATGAGATGGCTCAGTAGATGAAGCACTGCAATACAGTGAGAGAACCAGAGTTCGGGCCCTCAGAACAGCGGGGTTCCTCGCTGAGTGACTCTGGGTAAGTTTGCCTACCAGGGCTGTGCTAACATCTGAATGTTTGTATCTCCCCAAATTCACACATTGAAACTTATCCCAGAATGTGATGTGATTAAGAGGTAGGGTATTTGAAAGGTGACCGTGTCCTTGTAAAAGAGACATGAGAGGTAAGGGTGTAGCGCATTTGGCAGGGCTTTCCTGTCATGCCCAGATCCCTGGGTTCGATTCCTGTACTGTGTAATGTGCAGGTGTGATGATAAATGCCTGGGATCCCCACACTCAGGAGGTAGAGACAAGGAGATCGGAAGTTCGAGGTCATCCTCAGCTACATAGCAAGTTCAAGGCCCTCTGTGGTAGGTAGGCCACTTGTTTGTTCCCTGGCTGCTCAACCCAAAATAATCACACAGAAACCATATTTTTTGCAATACTGTTTGGCCAATAGCTTACGCATATTTCTGGCTGACTCATATCTTAAATTAACCCATCTCCATTAATCTGTGTACTGACATGAGGCAGTGACTTACCCGGTAAAGTTCCAGCGTCAGTCTCCAGCAGGGTTACATGGCTTCTCCTTGACTCCACCTTCTTTCTCCCAGCATTCAGTCTAATGTTGTCCTCCCCCCACACCCGCCACACACACATACCTTTATTCTGTTCTGTGTAGGCCCAAGACAGTTTCTTTATTAACCAATGGTATTTATAGCATACAGAGGGGAATCCCACAACAGCCCTCTCTCAAAGAAAGAAAGAAAAAAAGAAAGAAAGAAAGAAAGAAAGAAAGAAAGAAAGAAAGAAAGAAA